TCTCCTCACTATATCAACAGGGTCTAAGGCACCAATGCCGGCCCTTATCGGATTTGTATCCGGTTTTATTGCATGATATGCTTATTGATTTGCATCCTGGTAGTTAGGATGGTGATATGCTTAGTGACCTAGTAGGTCGGTATCCTGGTTTATAGGATGGTTGCTATGTTAGAGATCTGTTAGATCGGTATCCGGGTTATATGATGGTTGCTATGTTATTGATCGGTATCCTGGTTATAGGATGGTTGCCATGTTAGTGATCCGTTAGATCTGTATGACTATTTGTACTTGCATGCTAGCGTATGATATTTATGTGCACATGTTTGTTGGTTTGGGGGATTGGGTTGAGGCAAGTCCTGCTTTGTGTTGTAGGCCAAGATAACCAGGGCGGACCGGGTAGACTGCAGACCCGAGAGGGCATATAGTCAGGCCGAAGGCCCGACGAGCGGTCCGAATAGGCTGAAGGCCCTGAGAGGCGGTCCAGACATGCCTAAGGCGCGGAGAGCGGTCCAGATAGAGCAACGGCCCGGTGCGGGCGGTCCAGTCAGACTAATGGCTCATTATGCATGCTGTGTTTGTTTATATGTTATGATTATAATCGTATGGCGTTGGTATTTTGGGGGTAACTCACTAAGCCTTCGAGCTTACATTTATCGATTATTGTTTCAGGTACTTCTGATGATCGCGGGAAGGCGGAGGCGTGATCGTGCACCTCCTTACATTTTATGATTTGATTCTGGGAAACTCTAACATTGAACTATTTGAAAAGAAGTTTTGTGATAATCATTGGTTTTGAAATGTTAAAAAAAAGTTTAAATTTGGCATGATTTTTATGGATGTTACAAAAGAAGATCATTGGTGGTTGGTCTCGTTTAGAGTCTTATTTTGAAGGTGGAGAAACCTATTGTGTTATATGATAGGTTTTACATTAAAATTTTGGTACCAAGGAGAATCCGGAAGACATGTTGACAAGATCGTTGCCGAGAGAGAAGTTTAAGATTTGCGTGGACTTAGTTTATGTTTGCATGAGTTAGGCCCCTTTGGGGATGAATGTCAGAAAGGGAAAAGAAGTTTTTGTTTAAGGTGGATTTGAGAGGATACTCAAGTCATGGTGAAGATTGTTAAATGTGACTTGAGCATTTGGAGCATTCTCATGGCACACTTGAATATGATGACACATTTGGATATGATGACACACTTGGATGTAATGACATACTTGGATATGATGACATACTTGGATGTGATGGCACACTTGTATACGATGGCACACTTGGATATGATGGCACACTTGGATACGATGACACTATTTGGGATGGAGCATCTGACATAAGAGTGGAGCATCAGAGGAAGTGACATGCACTGGAGGTGCCAGTTAATGGCACATCGAAGAAGTGTCATGTACAAGAGGTGTTACGAAGTGACAGGAGGTGCAACTCAATAACACCTCCAATATGTTCAATGAACAAGAGGTGCCACCAAGTGTGAAGGTGTCACTTAATGTCACACTGATGTGCCAGCATGGTACCTTGACAAAGTGTCATGAATTGGAGGTGACACATGTTTAATGCATAGGAAGTGACACACTTAGATGTGATGGCACACTTGAATATGATGGCACAGTTGGATACAACGATACTCCTTGAATATGATGACACTCTTTGGAATGAAGCATCTGACAGAAGACTGGAGAATCGAAGAAGTACCATGCATAGGAAGTGCCACGAAGTGACAGGAGGTGCCACTCAATGCCACCTAGAAGATATGTCATGCACTAGAGGTGTCACTAAGTGACAATGTGTGTCATGTAATAGTACCTGGTGTGTCATTGGTGGATGTTGATGTCAATGCGATGTATCTCAAGGATGAAGGTTACAGAAGCAGTTGCATGGTGGATTGTGATTGGTTGACACCTTTCGTAAGCATATATATTAATGGGCTTGGCCCATTAGGGTTGTAGGTTTGATCCCTAGTCTAGAAATAGGGATGCTTGCTAGTCATTTCTAAAGTACCTTTTGTATCCTTAGTGAGTAGGACGAATCTTTGTTGCATTGTACTTGTAACCTCTGTTTGAGAACTCTGTGAATAAAGAATACTCCCCTCCTGCCCATGGACGTAGGTCACCTTGACTGAACCATGTAAATATTGTGTATTTGTGTGCTTTTGGTTTTGTGAGTTATCCGCATTACTTCCGAACAAGGGTCATCGGATTTTGGCAAGTGGCATCAGATTTGTTCTAATTTCTTGACAAGTGTCATATGGTTTCCCTAACAGGTTACGAATCTAAAATATTATGTGGGTAGTGTGTGTTCATTTTTGTTTCAAATTCGATGTTGACCATTTCAGATATGGTGTTCAACAGAGTTCTTGTTGTGTTCATTGTTGGCAGTTTTAAGAACAAACCTACCTATGACTTTCAAGTCGTTCCCAAATTCTCTTTTAAAATCGAACACATTTCTCTCTTCACTATCTAGGTTTGTTCATACCTGATCCATAATAAGGTCGTTCCCAAATATGTTTCTCTGAAAATCAAATATGTTTCCCAAATCATTTTCTTTGAATATCGTGTTTGTTTCAATCATCTATGAAAATCATCGTTCCCAGAATTCTTTCGAATTTTTATTTATGGGGACAAATATGTTTATAAGTGTGTATGTGTGTGGTTTAAATTTGAAAAATGAAACCATATATTCTAAGTATGTTCTTACCCGGGTCCACAAAACTATATGTGCTTTTCTATCCGATTAATTTATGGTGGTGGTGGCAACAATGGACAATGGTGGTCGACGGTAGTAGTGGGATGGTAGGTGGTGGTTATGGAAGGGATGGTAATGATGTGGGTGGGGATTTAGGGTTTCGGTGGATGGGTTATCTAATTAAAACATTAATTTAAAATAGAAAAACATAACAATTAATAAACAAATCAATCAAGAGTATAATAGTAATTTTAGATAAATTTTGAAATAAAATAAAACCATATGAGTTAACTACACAAGAAATGAAACCATATGGAACAAACAAACAAACAAATACACACACACACACACACACACATATATATATATATATATATATATATATATATATATATATATATATATATATATATATATATATATATATATATATATATATAGTTGTTCCGAATCAACTTGATTTGGCACACAACACCGCATAAATTTGTCTAATTATTTTGTAAGAAATACTACCATTTTGTTGATTAGCATTTACCAGATTGGATCCACATATGTTGATGCATTAACCACTGGTTTATCGGGACCACGGTATATGAGCGATTTAAATATCATCGGTTTTATGTCGATTTTTAGGTCGGATCGAACCAGTTTATTGGACTTAGATTTTTGAATTTCACTTAACACCTTAAAATAATTTACAAAACAAATTGAATTGCTCGATCGACGTGAAACTTATAATTGTATTTTTCTTTAATATATTTAATTAATATACCACTTTTTATTTATATTTTTAATGCTTGAAACACCTTAAAATAATTTACAAAACAAATTGAATTGCTCGATCAACGTGAAACTTATAATTGTATGTTTCTTCAGTATATTTAATTGATATACCACTTGTTATTTATATTTTTAATGTTTTAACTTATGGATGTCAAATTCTTGAGTTTTAATATATATATATATATATATATATATATATATATATATATATATATATATATATATATATATATATATATATATATATATATGCGCAGAAAATAAACAATATATGTAAATCTTAAAAGCTGAAAGCTGATTTGTATACAACAATTTTTCTCCATACATAACAATTTGTGTTTTTAAAGTTGTATTGTACAACTTTATAAAACACAAATTATTATATATATAAAAAAATTCTCATCCTAAAAACTAAGGCCCCGTTTGATAGACATCTGTTTAGGTCTAAACAGATCTTTCTGGCTGAATGGACCGAAAAGACTGTTTGATATGCACAAAAAATAGGTTTTTCCCGGTAAGATATGTCTTTCCTAGAAAGTTCCAAAACCATATCTTTCTGTTTGAATAGGCTGGAAAGACAATTGTGCCCCAAACCCTGCCTCTTTCTTTCTTGGATTACTGATTTCTTTTAAATAATTTTTAATTTCTTTTTTGTTTAATTATTATTTTTTATTAGATTATTATATATTAAAAAATATTATTTTTAATATATAATATTTATGTATTAATTGATATTATTTTATTCTATTATTAGTTTCTTTGAAATAATTTTTTTTTATTTCTTTTTTATTGATTAATTCTTTTTTATTAGATTATTATATATTAATAAATATTATTTATAAATATATAATATTTATATATTAATAAATATTACTTTATTGGATTATTAATTTCTTTTAGTTAATTTTTATAATTCATTTTTATTTGATTATTATTATTATTATTATTTTGACAATATCACCATCATCCTAATATATTTTAAAAAATTTCATCCATCCCACCACTACCGAACATAAACCGGGTCAAGAATCACACGTTGAGTTATAAAAAAAATAAAAATGACGAGAAAGAATAACAACGTATCATCAACTTGAAAAACAATAAACTAAAAACAACTTAATCGACATTGTATTTAGATTTTTAAATGATCATTGTGTAATTTTGATTTTGTATGAAAATTTGTATGTTTTTGTAATTATTCAGCAACTTCATCAATCACAGTATAGAACAAGAACAACAGGTAATATTGTCATTTTTCATCATTCAGCACAGTTAATCAGATGTACAATTAAACAACATGGTTTCTTTCCAGTAAAAAACTTTCTCATACAACACTTTTCAAGACAATATTTTTCCAGATAGAAACTATCAAACGGAACATAATTAAACTAAAACTGTTTTTACTTTGGTATTAACCAATAACCATGAAGCCACAAAAGCTTCTAGAAGCTTTGTCTGCGGGGCTCCACAGAGATGCCGGTAGGCGGTATGTATACATACATCTTGGTCAGTGTTTCTATCTTTGTTGCCGTCAAGTATCAATCGTCTTGAATGTCCAAACACCAAACACACCGTTCGTCGTTGGCCCAAACTCGATTAAAGCCTCACTCATCACTCTTCTCACTCCCAAATTCTTACATCAAATTGGGTGACCTAAATTTTCGGACTTGGGTCCAAATTTGATCATCAGATCCCCGGAGTGGTGTTATTTTTTTTTTGTCCCCCTCTCGACCTTCTTGATATTCCGATAATCCGATCAAGGCTCACATGGGTTTCTTCTGAAGGTGCTCTCTCTTATAATTTTGTTAAGCTTTGATCTTTTTTGAGATTTGGGTGTGGGTTTGTAACTATTTTCAGTTCGCATGACTGTGTTGTTGTTTGTAGATCGTTTTCGTTGTCAAGATTCTAGTGCTAGTTGTACTCTAGAGGTGTAATTCGCGTGACTGTAGTCTTGCTGTGTGTGGTTAAAATTGCTATTATTTTGATCCTAAATGAGCTGAAAATTATAATCATTTTAACCAAACTGAGGTCTCAGTGATTGGTTTGAGTTTGCAAAAATTGAAGTAAAAGAAGCTACATTTCATATCAAAGGATTCTTACAGATGAATGCCCAAGACTTGTTATATGTTGGAATGCCATGTGAAACCTTTTCTTGATAAATGTTACTTCTTTCAAATTTTGGAGTGGTAGTACATTGGGCAATGGGCATACCACTACAAATACACAATTCATATATGATATATGTATTATCATTATATTTATTTCAATTAGAAACATTTTATTTATCAATACACCACACTTAAACAAAAACGGGTGTTTGTATGTGCATTGTTGAAGTGAATAGTGATTGTTGCTACTTGAAGAATTAGAATCTGATAATAACACATTTGTCTTAATAATTAGCTTTCTTACGACTTCTTATTTGCTATTTGAATCTTAATTATTTTGATAGATGAAGTACAAAAATGTCAGTGGCACAAATTGAAAATATGGGCACATTAAGCAGTGATCTCTTCTATGACATACTAAGACGCCTCGATGGTGCGACCCTAGCAAGTGCATCATGTGCATGTGCAGCATTTAGTTCCATGTCAAAAGAAGAAAGGTTATGGGAAGATGTATGTTCTTCAATGTGGCCTTCAACAAAAAGAGATGATGTCAAAAACCTGATATTATCAATTGGAGGGTTTAAAAAATTCTATGGAGATTGTTTCCCTCTTATTGTAAACAAGGAGGTTCCCGAGTTTAGATGGAGTGATTATCCCGAGTATACAGAAGAACTGACTGAAGCCGAATATTATGGGGATTTTGATGAATTTGAAAATGTTTCGCCTTCTGATTTTGTGTCGATGGTGGACATTAAATATAAAGATAAAATAATCTGCTCGAAGGTTATTTGGGGCATACCGAATGCAAATGGTTTTGATGGTTGGTTTTCTAATTGTCCATTTCGGATCGATTTGTTTGACTTCACGGGTCAAGGCGATGACCACACGGGTATGCTTGCCTTTTTCTCATTATCTAAACCAACATACTTACATTTCTTTACCGATAATGGTTATCTACTTTATCTCTCACCTATAATTGCAATGTACTTGCATTTTGCTACCAATATAGGCATTTTACTTTGTTATGTATTGCTACTTTTGGTAAAGAAATGTAAGAATGTTGTTGTTATGAGTAAAAAGTTGTACGTACATTGCTATTATAATGTTGTGAAATTGTTGGAAAAAAAAAAGTGTGTTTAGTAGAGAGGTTACATAAGTAAAAATGGGTTATATTACAATCTTTCATTCTATTCCATGATGGAAAATAACACCTAGTGTTTAAGGAATGAAATCTACTAAAAAAAACATTTTCTAGTATACACCACTCAAATCTTCTTATTCTGACCATAATCACACTTCCAGCAATTTCTAAACCTTATGACCTTTTTGACTCATTACTTTTTTAAAACAGTTTTATAAATTTCACTGAGTTAACCCGTGATGAATAATATAAACTTGAAATGAATGAATCAGGTGGAGTTACTCTTTCTGTTACGGATGGTTTGCCTGTGGTAACCTCAATGGAGAGAGAGAGAAAAGACGGGAAACTTTGGAAACAGCTTTGCGATGGAATCAGGCTGAGTTGGATAGTGGTCAACACAAAAGTCAAACAAGCAGCCAATTTATCAAGCTGGAGTCCGTTGACCGGTCAAAGACACTGGCCTACAGACAAAGATTTCATGCTAAGATTCGGGTCAATCCTCCCAGCCAAAGACATTCTTTCATGTCAGATGGTGGAATGCATCCTCGCCATGAAGTTTCAGGTGACCGAAGCCACCATCGATGGGGCCCACACGACCCTGAAACTGACTGAACTTTGTATGCAGTTAGAAGACATGGAAGGTGCACATGTTAATGGGAGGAACAGTTTGCTTGTGCTTAAACAAGGGTTGAGGTGTGACAGAAGCAAGAATTATAGCTTGGCGCTTGAGTCTTGTTATTTGTATTCCAAAGTGCAGAGTGAGATTAAAGAAGAAAAGCTGCGATATGAAAGTTGGTTGGATCGATTGTGGATTTTTGGTGGCATCACCACGTTTTTCGCCTTCTTATGTTGCTATTTCATGTGAAATCCGAGGTTTGTTGATTGGGATTTCTTTTTGTTGTAAATTTCAAAATTTTATTCTTTTCATAGGATTTATCCCGCTTTTTAATAACTTATTGGGGTTTATTGTAAGAAAGATAATATATAACTTCATTAAAAGGGATAATGTCACTTATACAGGACCAACTATTTTGTATGTATCCAAAAAATTATTCCTTTTTGCATGCCATAGCCGATAAGTTCAATTTTTTGTTATGACTTTGGTCTGTGACTTTTGCAAATTTGTTTTTGTTTAATGTTTATACAACTTTTTTCTGAAAATTCGCAGTGTATATATAATTTCCTTTTTTTTTTTACAAATTCATTTTTAAATAAATGTTTTTTATAACTTTTTATCTTTTCTTATAACCATCATTAGAACTAAAAAAAAACGTTTCTACAAATTTGTTTTATGAATTCGTTTGTAAAAGAATTTAGAAAAAATATGAACTTTTAAAAAATTATAAAAACGAATTTGAAAAGATGAAATTATTAAAATGGTTATAAAACATGACTTTTTGGATAAATACAAAATTCTAAGTTGCTTAGCATGGTTATAAAAGGTGACTTTTTTACATGAATACAAAATTCTTAACTATCATAACTAGGGGTGGAATTGGTACGGTACCAAGTTTTTTTTTCCTTCAAACCGTGTACCGTACCAATTATAATTGGCATAAAGTTTTACCTACCAATACCATACTAATGATACTTGGTACCAATTTAGTTGGTTACCAACAAATTTGGTTGGTACATATTGGTATTGGTATATACCAAAATATTTAAGTAATATTTATACTTGAAGAGTTTGAGACTATAATCTATATAAGACTTCACATTATAATCATCACTTAATGGTTAGAAAGTTTTCCAAATATGAACGTGAGTTGAAGTTGTGGTCGTCACTTGTTTCACTAAATCATTTTAGTGTTATGTACCTTTCTTAACCTTGTGTTAGTAATTTATTTTACTATAATGTTTCGTTTAAAAAAGAATCAATATCAATAGAATTATATTACTAACTCCGACTATTACTTGTTAGTTGTTACTCCTATTTAAAACTTGAAAATGTAAGAATATATATATATATATATATATATATATATATATATATATATATATATATATATATATATATATATATATATTGGTTGGTATGGTATAACCGTGGTATTCAAAATTTTGTACCGTTACCGTACCAAGACTATTTAATTGGCATGGTATTACCGGCCAAACATATTGGCTACCAAACATGTTGGCTACCGATTTTATTGGTTCGGTTGGTAACATGTTGGTTGGTTCTCCGTGGTACATATTTGTCAGCCCTAATCATAACATGTTTTATGTTTACTTAAACTAGCAACCTACTTTAACTTCTTCAAATGCTATAAACGGATAAGCCTATAACAATCACTGACTTTTGAAACCTGTTATCTTTCTTATTTATGGTTATATGTCACTCACGTCATTTAATATTTAAATTTTATTGATTCTGACTGGACGCCGTCCATTGGCGACTTATGATGTGGCACATGTTTTAACACGTAAGCATAGTAACCGATAAGAAAATATCATTAATGCCTTAATGGTGATGATCGTGAAAAAGGTGAAATTAGGTTAAACAAACTTTAAAATCTGTTAAAAATAGGGACTCAGAAAGTTTGTTAAAGGAAAGGAGGTGGTTATTTTATTTTATTTTTTCTATAAAATTATATATGCGCATCCCCCGTTGATTTTGTGGTTGAGAAAACATAGGAAGCAAAACATAATGATTGGTATGTAATGTTGTTAAAATATAAATTTATAAATTATAATAGGCCAGGCCAGCAAGTACAATTTTCTTAATGGTTTGTACACGTTGTTGTGTTAATGTGTTATAGTATATTTTCTGGCATACTAAAATGAAAAAAAAAAAGATATATAGATTCGGCCAGTTGGGCAAGTTTAGAGGCAAGACGAACGAGACACAACAACAATAACAAATAACCTCTTTCCCTTTAAAAAAATGAGATAAAGGGTGGATGAGATGGTAGGCAGTCGAAATCAATGTTTTAAAAATCGGTTGGAACCTGCCGGTCGAACCGGGGAAGAGATTGGTTTAACTAGCATCGGTTTTATGTCTATTTCTGAATCATAACGAAGTGACCGATTTTTATACAAAAATCCGGTCAAACCGATTAAATTAAACTGGCTGAACCGGTTAAATAAAATAAAAACACATGAAAATGAATCATTTTCATAACAAACTATAGTTTTTTTAATAAAAACCCATGATAAATATTATAAATTTTTTTAATGCATTTTTTGTTTCCTTATTATACTTTATTTTATTTTTGATGTACGTAAATTGATGTAAACTTACGGTTATATGTTTTTAATGTATTATGATTGATTTTCGACTTGTATTTAAGAGTATTTTTAATGTTTAAACTTGTAGATGTTTATGTATGTGTAGGAAAATAGAAAAAACAGATGAAAATTATAAAAACCGATTGAACAGACAGTCGAACCGGTTAAACCGAAAACCGATCACCATACCAGTTCAACTAAAAAATCAATTTTTTAAAACATTGGTCGAAACTTGGTTCCGAATAAGACATGTGACAAACAAAAAGGAAAAAGATGAACTAGGAAAAGGCAAAATGTTTGTTTGTCGAAAAAGATATCATGTGTATTACACATCAGACCATCGTCAAGCAAGACAAACAAGATAGATTAATTGTTTAACATGTTAGAGGGTATGAAGCGGAAAAGGAGTGAGAGAACATTTCCCTCACCTTAGAACACCATACGGAGGGTGAGGAAAGATGGGTGCGGGAAAAGAGTGAGGGGGACATATCCCTCACTCTCTCTCCTCGTGTAATTGGTTGGTTTTTTTTCTAGTTTTTTTCTAATATTTATTAAATATTAAATTATATATCTACTAAAAATTATAAAAAAATATATCAAAAATCACGGTTTTTAATTCCCTGCAAATTGAGTGAAATATTTATATAAAATATTTTTTTTAGAAAGATAAAAAAATAAAAGGTAGTGAAAAGTGACAATTTTTGCCTTTCGACGAGGGAAATGAAAGCGAGAGAAAATTGGCATGACACTCAAAAAACGAAAGATTTTGCCCATACATGTGGTCTCATCATATAAATAGAAATCAAGATGTTAGTAAAGTTTTCTTTAATTTTTTTAACCCGATAAGAAATATTATGATGTGTTCACAAAATTCATATATTTTCACGCTTCGTTAACACGTAATTTAATTGTGAAATCAAATATATTTAATGTGATCCCATGTTGAATTTGATAGTCGCCGGTTTCATTCCCTCTACAATAAAAAAACATTCTTTTTCATTTATCATGTCCTTACACTTCCCAACAAAATGAAAAGTGTGAATGGATGATCCACACAGTAAATAACATCATTAGTAGTCTTATGTAGGGATGTTATTCGGTCTAGAACCGGCCCGAACCATACCAGAACCTAATAAACCGAAAAACCGAATAAGCCTCAAACTAAAAACCGAATACCACTATTCAGTTCCATTCAGTTTCGGTTCCGGTTTTGTTCGGTTCTATTAAGATTTGTGTTATCTAACAAGGTGTTCAGAACTATCGGACCCGAACCGAAAAAACGAAAATTGAATACCACTATTCTGTTCCAGTCGGTTCTGGTTCCGGTTTAGTTTTTATGTTGAAAAACTCCGCCCTAGTCTTATTTTTCAAGCTCATCAGCCCACCTTATGTGGCGGAAGCTTTACATGTGGCATCCCACTTACTGAGTCCCACTTCGTCCACGTCCGTTCAAAACCAAATCACGTTCTCTAATTTATTCAATAAACCAACATCTTTTTCCCATCTTCATATGTTTGGATTCTTTTGTTACTTAATTTCACATTCCCACACATCATAAAACCATCCACCGCTTTATACCTTGTGTTTTCCTTGGTTACCCATCATATCATCACAATTTAGGTGTTCAGATATTTCCAGTCGCAAAATTTATCGTCTCTCGAGAAGTCATTGTTTGATAAAACCACGTTCTGCTTCCATTCCATGACACCCATATGGCCTCCATTATATGCCAACGTGGAACAAGCCCACTTGGTAGAGGCTTTGCCTCTTAGATTGGAGGTCTCAGGTTCTAATCCAGACGTTGACGATTTCAACTAACTTGGTATACTAACTTCTAACCACTAATCGGCCGAATACTAGAAGAAAAAAACCAACACACTCCGCCAGCATCAACCTAAGTGTGAAAGAAAAATGGCATTGTTAACACCCTGTCGCGCGCGTATTAAACAAGTAAATTATCATTGTTGGTTGCACTAAAAATATAGCACAGGGAAGCAGGGTCGAATCCTCGGGGACACAGCCTAAAAGTCAATGCATTTTTGCATCAGGCACATCTAGTCAAGAAACAGAATATAAAAGGGGTTTTAATTATAAACTAAAAACTAAAAATGCAGTGATATTAAATTAAACGAAAATCAATATAAAAAACGATTCAGTTCTGCCGCGACTTTCTTAATCATGTAACCGATCCAGATCTGATTATTTGAGATGCGTTCTATCTAAGCTGATATTGAGAAAAACTAACAAGCTCTAGTAATTTCTCTTTTACCTAAATTAGTTAATCAAAACAAGCTCTTTGAATTAACCTAACATTTCACTATTCAATTAAACAAGCTCTTAATTAAATCAGAAAAATTGCATTAAGTTCTTTGTAAAATTCTCAGCAATATCCAATACTTCTCACAAGCTCGGAAGCGTAAATATATGATTTTTTACAGTTTATAATAAAGTCAAATCCCAAACACGGAACCAATTTATTACTTGTTACTTTTACCAGTTGACAAGAACAATTATGGATTCTATTAACTGATTAACACGAATGATTAAACCCTAATTAGGTGATCAGACTAACAAGAATCAAAATCAAACATTCATTAAGAACAAAACTGAAGAATCTAGATAGAAACACAAATCAAA